AAAAAAAAAAAAGCTAGGGGCTGGGAATGTGGCTTAGTGGTAGAGTGCTTGCCTAGCATGCATGAAGCCCTAGGTTCAATTCCTCAGCACCAATCACATCAACAGAAAAAGCCAGAAGTGGTGTTGTGGCTCAAAGTGGTAGAGCACTAGCTTTGAGCAAAAGAAGCTCAGGGACAGCACCCAGGCCCTGAGTTCAAGCCCCAGGACTGGTAATAATAATAATCATAATAAGCTGAGCGCTAATGGCTCATGCCTAGAATTCTATTTGGAAGGCCAGCACTAAAAGAATCACAGTTTGAGGTTACCAGGAGAGAACTATTCAGAGACTCCTTTCCCCGCAGAGAGCTGGGCGTATGTCAGACACCTGTCACCCCAGCTACAACAGGAAGTCTAGAATAGGTGAATCATGGCCTAGATGCATGCCTGGGCAGAAACTGAGACCATCCTCAAAACGACCCAGCACAAAAAGAGAAACAGAGGCGTAGCTCAGCAGTAAGAGTGACTGACAAGGTCCTGAGTTCAAACTCCAGTGCTGAGGGAAAAAAAAAATCTTCATAATAACCACAAGAGAAGAGGCCAATACCAACAAGGTGGACAGGTTTTCAATCGAAACCCATCATCATCTAACTGAGTATTCCATACAATAAGCAAGCCAAATATGTTTTTAAATAGGAAAAATATGGGTGTAGTGAGCCGTGCAATTAACACTGCTGATCTTTGAGTCTTATGTAGAGCAACAAATCCCACAACTGCATGACATTCTTTGAAGTACTGCCAGCCATTACCAAAAGTTGGCCCGGTGATGACTCTTCATGCCAAGAAATAGAAGTCATCGAAATACATCTGCAGAAAGCAATATATAGGAACAGATAGCAGAAAGATAATTAGAGGCTAGCAGAGGCAACATTTCCTAATACCACAAAAATTTTAAAAAAAATTCCAGCATGATGGTGCATGTCTATAATCCCAGAACTCAGGAGGAAATGGTAGAAGAATTGTGAACTTGAAGTCAGCCTGGGCCACATAGCAAGGCCTTATCTACCACCTCCCCCACCCTGGGGCCCTAAAAAGCAATTAGAAAACCGCTAGATTTCAGATACAGACATGTGAAGGATTGAGATCCAGGATGCAGGAGGTAGGAAATGACTTTAGCTCAGGGCTGATAAACCAGCCCTGTCTGAGCCATGGCCGTGTGTGTGTGTGTGTGTGTGTGTGTGTGTGTGTGTGTGTGTGTGTGTCTGTGTGTCTGTCTGTCTGTCTGTCTGTCTGTCTGAGAGAGAGAGAATGTACTGGAGTTTGACCTCAGGGCATCACCCTCTCATTATTTTTTTTTCACTCAAGGCTGGCACTCTACCACTTGAGCCATACCTCTACTTCCAGCATTTTCCTGGCTAATTGGAAATAAAAGTCTCATGGACTTTTCTGCCTGGGCTGGCTTTGAACCACAGTCCTCAGATCTCAGCCTCCTGAGAAGCTAGGATTATAGGTATGAGCCACCGGTACTTAGGCCCTATTGTTTTCTATTGAGATTTGGAGTAAACCAGGCAAATGAATTACTGTGGGACCTGTTCAAAGCAGCTCCCACGCAGTGGGCTCCACATCTGCCCAAATTCTGCTACATTTACCAACTCTGAGATGGCATCTCAAGGTCAGCTTAAAGAATAACTTGCTTTCTACTGACTAAATCTGTTTTTGGCAAAGAAAGAAAGCCATGTGGCAAAACCATCAGCCTCATCCCTGACCAGACGTTAGAGGCAGTGGACATGGTGGCTTATATTTGGGACCATGATTTCTCCTTGCAACAAGGAAGCTTCTTGGTAAAAGTTGTCCTTGGCAGCTCTTTGAGAACAATTAGTGGGGAGAAAACTTACTCGTCCCTTTGGCCAGCCCCTCCCTAGTTCTTTCCAGCCCCTCCCTTAGGCCTGGCATTCTAAATTCTTTTTTTTTTTTTTTTGGATCCGGTCGTGGGGCCTGAACGCTGGGCCTGGGCGCTGTCCCTCAGCTCTTCAGCTCAAGGCCAACGCTGGTGCTGTCCCTCAGCTCTTCAGCTCAAGGCTAGCGCCCTACCACTTGAGCCACAGCGCCACTTCCAGCTTTTTTCTTTTTGCTTATGTGGTGCTGAGGAATCAAACCCAGGGCCTCAGGCATGCAAGGCAAGCGCTCTACCACTGAGCCACCTTCCCAGCCCTGGATAAATCTTTCTTTAGCTCTACAGAAAGCTGACTGGTGTGGTAGTGCATGCATGTACTAGGGAAACTCGTCCAGGAAGAAGAGTTTAAGGCCAGACTATATATATATATATATATATATATATACACACAAATATATATATCTCCTAGGCCATCTAATGACCCTCATCACTCCCTCTTTAGTCTTTAATCCTAAGAATATACCCGTTTAAAACAGAACAATAGAGCTGGGCACTGATGGCTCACAACTGTAATCCTGACTACTCAGGAAGCTGAGATCTGAGGATTGAGGACCAAAGTCAGCCTGAATAAGAAAACCTATAAGATGCTTATCTCCAATCAACCACAAGAAAAACAGAAGTGGAGCTGTGGCTCAAAAGGGTAGAGCACTAACCTTGAGCAAAAGACTTCATGAGAGAGTGTCCAGGCCCTGAGTTCAAGCCCCAGGATCAACACACCACACGCACACACACACACACACACACACACAAAATGATCCTGTGAAGGTCAGGGACTGTTGGGGTTATTACAGAAAGGATGAGGAGTGGGAGCAGCACAAAGACCCTGCCCAGAGTGCATGCTTCTCCTTTTCTTGGGGCCTCTGTGACCCCCAACATGAAGCTTAGAGGTTCTGCCTCTCAATTCAAGCCTCCCTTCTCAAGATTACCAACCTTCAAAAACCTGATTCTTCCCCACCAACCCTTGTCTCCCAAATAGTGGACTTCAAGTTGTGTGCATCTAGGACTTGACTTTCAAAAACACCCTACAGATGGATTATTTTAATTAACTAGAGATGAAAGCCCCAAATTCAAGCTCAGGATGGACAATAGAATTGTCTTCAACAGAAAAGAGGTTTCCCAAAGATTTGCCCATTCCAGACCAGACAAAAGAACTGGATTTTAGGCAGGCACAGTAGCCCACACTTGTAATCTTGGCAGCTCTGGAGGCTGAGATCAGGAGGATCAAGGTTGGAGGCCAACATCAGGCAAGAAGTTCCTGAGAGCTCCAACTCAGTCAATAAGCTGGATGTGGCAGATGTGGTAGTGTGTGCCTGTGACCCCAGATATCTAGGTAACACAGAAAGGAGGATTAAAGTCTGAGGCCAGCCTCAGAAAAACACCAACAGAACACAATCCTCTAATACCTCACCCAAAAAATAACCACAGGGGGAAAAAAGGGCAAAGGTACGGTTCAAGGGATAGAATGCCTTGAGAATAGGAGTTCAGAACCCAAATTCATCCAAAAAAATATGTATATGTGTATGTGTGTGTGTGTTGACAGACAGACACTAGATTTCAATATTTTGTGTGTCTGTGTGCCAGTCAGGGCTTCTCTTGAACTCAGGGCTTGAGCGCTGTCCCTGATCTTTTTTGCTCAAGGCTGGCACTCTAGCGCTTGAGCCATGCCCTCACTTCTGACTTTTGGGGGAGTTACGTGGAGATATAAGAGTCTCGTGGACTTTCCTGCCTGGGCTGGCTTCAAATCATGATCCTCAGATCTCAGCCTACTAAGGAGCTAGGATTACAGGTGTGAGTCACCAGTGCCCAGCTTTCAAAAGAAATCTTATCAGAGAACCCAGAAAAAAATAGGAAGCAGCAGGACCCTGGAAAGCAGCAGCACAGAGGCTGGACGCAGACACCGCGGGACAGGACAGCTTCACAAAGCACATGTAACCAAACACCCAGTTCACCACCGAAGAAGAAACAGAGCTGGAGAACGCGCCCAGAGAATGTCTACCTTTGAGCAAGGCAACTTCCTGGTGCCTGCTCCAAAGTAAACCCGGTGGAAATGTGGGCCAGGGTTAGAGACACTCCCTGGCTCCAAGTTGTAAACAGCGCCTACTGGTGGCGCCATAGGAGAATAGCAAGCAGCCCTTTCTTTGAGAAGGTACCAGTCATCAGTGGCCAAGCAAGTCCACCCAATCTTAGAATAGCAAAGTACTCTCTTCTGATGGTAAAAGAATGCTTGTCTATAATATTCTGCAGACAGTTAATGTCAAAATAAAAGCCAGGCACTAGTGGCTCACACCTGTAATCCTCGCTACTCAGGAGGCTGAGATCTGAGGGTTGTAGGTTCAAAGCCAATCTCCACCAGGAACGTCCATGTGACTCTTATCTCTAATTAAGTACCAAAAAAAAAAAAGATGGAAGTGGAGCTGTGGCTCAAGTGGTAGAGTGTTAACCTTAAGCAAAAAAGCTCAAGGACACTACCTAAGTCCTGAGTTCAAGCTCTGGGACTGCCACAAAAAGAAGAAAGAAAGAAAGAAAGAGAGAGAGAGAGAGAAAAAGAAAGAAAGGAAGGAAGAAGGAAAGAAAGAAAGGAAAGAAAGAAGGAAGAAAGGAAGAAGGAAAGGAAGGAAGGAAGGAGAAAGAGAGAAAGAGAGTGTGTGATATATTATCTGTCCCTTTGGCAAAGAAGTTTCCACAGAGATCCAGTGTTGTTGTGGGCTTAGGTTATAGCTGCTACTAAAATCATTACCATAACCATCCAAGATTTTAAATGATGACCTAAGGATCATTTTAAGTCCAGGTCATTTAAAATCTTCCTATGTCCCAGATTGTAATTTTGGAGAGAAACACACTGCTCATATCAGACATTCATCCTGCATTACACTGTTTCTGTTTAAACATTTGAACTGAATGGCTTATCTTACTTTTGAAGGCATTGCTTATGTTTAGCGGGGAGGAAGGAATAGTGTAGTTTGGGGACCTTCTTGCAAATCCTATAGAGTCCCCACAGTACTGTTACCTCCAGAACCAACTGGATAAATCAGGACTGCACAGATGCCGGTGAGGAAGGTAAGGACGAAGGACTGTCTTCCTTCTGAGGGATCTTGCAAAGACAATTCACCCTAGGCTTGGGATTGGCAGAAGGCAAAATTTAAAGGCCTGAACTAGCTCTATTTGTGGTTCTAGAATGGAGCACTACCTCATTTCATAAATCAGATCACAGGGTCCTGGGCTGAGCACAAAAGTTGCTGTTAGGGACAGAAAGAGCTGAAGAAAGCAGAAACAAAGTATCTCAGTATTTCAAAGTTAGTTTCTTGTGCTGGGCCCATGGGGCTCCCACCTGTAATCCTAGCTACTTAGAATTATGCAATCTGAGGATTGTGGTTTCACAGTGCAAAACCAGTCTAGACAGAAAAGTCCATGAGACTCCTACCTTCCATTAACAACCAAAAATCTGGGAGTGGAGGTATTGCCTAGAACAAAGAAATCTAAGGGACAGCATATAGGCCCTGAGTTCAAGAATGAGTAACAACACAAAAAGAAAGAAAAGAAGCCAGGCACTGGTGGCTCACACCTGTAATCCTAGCTACTCAGGAGGTTGAGATCTGAGGATCACAGATAGAGGTTTACATCCAGCTGTGGGACTCTTATCTCCAATCTACCACTCAAAAACCAGAAGTGACACTGTAGTTTAAGTGGTAGCACACTAGCCTTGAGCACAAAGAGGCTTAGGGACAGTGCCCAGCCCTGAGTTGAAGCCCCAGGACTGGTAAGAAAAGACAGAGGAAGGAAGGAAGGAAGGAAGGAAGGAAGGAAGGAAGGAAGGAAGGGAGGGAGG